AACGTTGATGAAACCTTCTTGCGTAGTTTTCTAGCTCGAAAAACGTAAAAAATATGCACAATCGAGAAAGTGTGCCGCTAATTTTGATCGGTAGTATACTAACGTTAGTTGGTTAACCAACTCAACTATAGTACGAATGGCAAGGTGACCTTAATGGCCGCGCTGCATTTGTACTGACTTTGAGAGGAATTTCTTTTGTGAGACCAACAAAATTGAAAACTCCATTGCAGTTACATAAATATGGATTATGTCTAATAGAAACATTTTGGCTGTCTGTGTCTCACGTCAGTTAGCCAGACCGCATCGCACGTACTACTTTTAAGTTTGAACACAAGGGAGCATCTTAAAAACTTGTTGAGAGTACCTAGCCGAGGCAAACGTCTTAGTCACTTTTCGACAGTAAACATCGACTTCACTCTCCCGTAATAGACCTTGCCCAAAGTTATTTGTTGGTGAAAGTACAGGTACAGACCGGTGGGAATGGGCAGAACTTTCTTGTTTTGTTGTTTTCATCATATACGGCGTCCATTATGTTACCCCAGACGACTGGCAAGTACGTTCTCCCGGTAGAGCAAATCTTCTTAAACTTCAAAATGTGGGCGTTGTCCTTCCAGCCCCCGCGGGATGACCAAGATGCAAGTGCCATTTCTACCTAAACGACGAAAAGACAGAGATCGGTCAAGGTAGGGTACCGACGAATCACCGGGCTGTTGTCATCCAGTAAATGCGCTAGGACGGAATGAGAAATCCAGCGATGGGAATTATGCTTTTGTATTGGGTACTGAGAAGAAGAGCAAAGTTACCCAGTGGCTTTATCATACTATTTGTTGGATTATGAGTAATAACAGGGGTCCCGGCTAACTTTTGGCGTTGGGCCAGTATGCGCTTTCGCACTCTGTCTGATTGTTACTCGGAAGCGTCCGTGTAGGTGTTAGCTGCTGCCTCGAGCTGGACAACCCAGCCGGCGCTTGACGCACCCCGCCCACCAGCCGGCCCGGGCGAGTCAAGAGTGAGGAGAGAGAGACGAACTTATGCACGCGTCAGTGAGTGCGACAGAGACAGACGATGTCACTGGGCGGCTAGGCTCGCTCTGGCGACGGTGGCTGCCGCCCGTCTCCGGTGCCCTCGGTATGCACCGGTGTCTCGTCTGCTAGCCCTAGACTGGCCCATAAGGCTCCATGCGTGGCGCGCCAGCGGCCCGCGAGACGTCAGCGAGCTGTTGGGCGGGCCACGTTGCCGGGACCCCAGGAGTAATACAAACCATCTCACCCTGCCATTTCCACTGCTGTTGCTCGGGTTATTCAATATAAACTAGGTAACTTTTCAGTAGTCATTTTAGTGGTAGG